GTGTGTGTGTGTGTGTGTGTGTGTGTGTGTGTGTGTGTGTGTGTGTGTGTATACAAAGAGGCTTAGTATAAGGGTATTGATTTATGTGATTATGGAGTCTAGCAGGTACCAAGATGTACAAAGCACGTTCCAGAGACCTAGGAGAGCTGATAGTTTAGTTCAAGTTTGATTCAGAAAGTCGGAGAACCAGGAGAGCTGATGGTGTAGCTCCCCTCTGAATACTGTCAAGCTCAAGCCCCAGGAAGAACTGATGTATTTCAGTTCAGTGCCAAAGGCAGAGAAAGACTTTGTGCCAGATTGAAGGGAATCTGGCAGGAAAAACTCTCAGACTTGTTGTTCAATTCAAGCCTTCAACAGATGAGATGAGGCTCACCCACATTAAAGAGGGCAACTTGCTTTATTCATTTTACGGAGTTAAATGTTAATCTTGGCACGGTGGCTCATGCCTATAATCCCAGCACTTTGGGAGGCTGAAGTGAGAGGATTGCCTGAGACTGCAGGTTCCAGACCAGCCTGGGCAATTTGGCAAGACCTCATCTCTACAATAAATCAAAAAATTAGCTGGGCCTGGTGGCACGTGCCTATAGTTCCAGCTCCTTAGAAGGCTGAGGTGGAAGGATCGCCGGAGCCCAGCAGGGCGAGGCTGCGGTGGCCATGAGCATGCCACTGCACTCCAACCTGGGCACAGAGTGAGACTCTTACTCAAAAAATTAAAAAATAATAACAAAAATGTCAATCTCATCTAAAACAGCCTCACAGAAACACCCAGAATAAAGTTGGACCAAATATTTGGGCACCCTGTGGCTCAATCAAGATTAGTCATCACAGGAAGGTTAGCGGAGAAGCCAGGAGACCAACGAAGAGGCTCCTGCAGTAGTCTAGGAGAGAGTTGGTGGTGGCTTGAACCAGGGTGATAGGGCATGGAGGTGGGGAGAAGTGGTCGTATTCATGGAGGAGGGGACTGGGAGGGGTTACACCTTTAGTTTTGGAAATTGTCAAATAGATAAAAAAGTAGAGGAAGGCTGAATCTCCATCTCAGCCTTAGCTATTCATATTCAGCAAAATTGTTTTGTTGATGGTGTGCCTCTCTCCCTATCCCTCCCCCAAGCTCCACGACCTCCACTAGATTATTTTGACCCAGATCTTATCATTTCTGAATTCTGGATGTTTGTTTAGTGTTGAATCAACAGGATTTCCAGGTGGATTGGATGCAGTGTAGAGAGAAAAGCCAAGGATGATTCCAAGGTCTTGGACTGAGCAACAAGAAGGACTCAGAGAAAATCCCTTTGATGTTTTCGTTTTTCTCCCTGCCAGGGACTGAGAACTGCTGAGTGCTTGGGGGTGAGTGTGGGGCTTTGGAGATTGTCCACCTTGTGGTTTGGGATTTAATTCACTTTTCTTTCTTTCTTTTTTTTTTTTTGAGTTGGAGTCTCACTCTGTCACCCAGAC